AAGGTATGTTGATGATAAGGTATGTTTCTTATCATCAACATACCTTACATACCTTATCATCAACATACCTTACATACCTTATCATCAACATACCTTACATACCTCATCATCAACATACCTTACAAACCTTATCATCATAAGGTATGTTGATGATAAGGTATGTAAGGTATGTTGATGATAAGGTATGTAAGGTATGTTGATGATGAGGTATGTAAGGTATGTTGATGATAAGGTATGTAAGGTATGCTGATGATACGTTTTTACTCTTTCGAAGCTCTATTCACATAAAACAATTCTTGAATTATTTAAATTCGAAACACCCTGACAATGTAGTGTATCTTCAAATTTCAGACAACTGTTTTTGCTTTTAAAATACTTTGATTTTACTTTTCTCTACCAATTAGAAAAAAAATAGTTCTGACATCATTAGAACGTTTTTTTCAGTGTGCACAAAAACACACACACACACACATACATATATATATTACACCCAAGTGGGCCCACAGAAAAAAAATTATGGGGGGCAATACCCCTGTAATTACAAATACCTTATGATATTCCAATAACACAAAAGAATAATTTTACATATCTAGTAATTTTTTCTTTTTTTTCAAATCCAGGGAGGGTCAAGTGACACCCCTTAACCCTTCCTGTGGGCACCCACGATTACACCATAAAGGCGGGTAATAAAACATATAGAAACAGTTTTATTATCTGACACACATAAGTAACGTTTCCACAGTTCAATCTCATTTCATTTCGAAATGATAGTAATGGACCATTTGATCCATCTTGGACATTCCAACTTCAGAAAAAAACTTCTTGTATCCAACTCTGATCTCTGAAATATTCACCAAGTCTTCTCTAAGCTCTTTGAAAGTTACAACTTCTACCACACCTGAAGAAAAGTATTATATAGGTCGAATACTTTATTAGAAAAGTTAAAGTACCTTAAACTCGAGTCGTGTGCGAGTTTTCCATATTTAAAATGTGTATCTTCTGTTAGCATCATTCTCATACTTCTATTAAAATTACATTTGAATTTATGAATTTCAAGCCTTTTACAGTCTTTAAAACCTCATTCATATCCTCCCTAAGCCATTCTCTCCTGTGAAAACTTGACAAAATTTCCACTGATTTATCCTCACATGATAACCTCTTTAAACCTGGAATTACCTTGGTAATTCTTCTCTGACCTTAAATAAGGTGACAAAAACTGAACACAACATAACAAATGAGGTCTAACCAGCTTTATATTATAAAGTCTGAGGAGTTTCGAGTTTTCTTATTTCTCCAATAAGGTGGTAAATCTGTGAATCAAGTTACCTTCTAGAATCACAAAGTCCGCAATGTTTGAGGAGTTTAAGGAAAGTGATGAATATTTTGGGAATCGGAGCTGGATTTAGTGAGTAGTTTCTGTTTACTGAGGTAGGCTGGGAGTCAGGATATTTTTTTTATGTCTCCTAACTTATGATCATGAATGTAAGAAAAAAAAACACAGTTAAACTTTAAAAAAATTGTACAAAAAAAAATCCCTGGAAGGAACTCAAGAAAAATTAAGTAAAACTGAAAATGTTTTAAACTTGGTTTGTATTAACTTTTTTACTATGATTGTTTTAATTAATTATATGTTACACTTGAGAAGGAATAAAAATAATGTTATAAATTTTAAATGACGTAAAATGTTAGATTTGGAGACTATCCGTGAAAAGAATTATCGTGAAATTCTAGATTTTGGGTTATTCAATAGTGATATTTTTCAAATGAGGGGGTGTAGTGGCTTTTTATATAAATGGATGAGCTGCAGCCTGTTAGGATATAAGACGTAATAAAATAGTGCTTGAAATACGTCTTTCTACACTCTAATACAGGGGGTACAAACCTTATATCTTTAAGACATAATTTCATGAAGAGTTGATCTGGTACTCACCAGTTGCACTATCACCTCACAACTAGTTTTTGATCATTCTATAAGGAACTACAAACATTCTATTGAACACGTGCAGACATTAGTTGATTATAAGGAAATTGAATTAAACTGTTCAAGCAAATAGGACAAGTGGTGTAATTCTATACACTCCGTGTGCGTGTAAGAGAATGGTTCGCAACACCATAAATGACCGACTTATGGTAACCGTGGCTAACAAAAAAAAAAACTCAACTTTAATTTTCAAACTTTCATACATTGTAATTCTAAAACTGTAGTTACTAAAATAATTACATTTTGTGTTGTTCAAATAAAACTTGTTTTTCTATGGTAAATGTAACTTATAACTTGTAATGCTTTATGTTGTCATATTTTGGTATTGTCCTTCTACAAAAAATCGGAATTTTAGAGGTCTGAAAAAAAACAAAAAAGTCCAGAGATTGAATCTACGTGGGTTACAATTGGTGGTTTCAAGGGTTGAAAGTTTTAACTGGAAATTATTATGGGCTTCTTAAGCAACAACGAGGATGTGATTGAAAGTGTTGAACATTTGGGATAGATAGAGCGTGACACTGATAGGTTCAATGTTATGCTACATGCTGAGAAAAAAAAAAAAAATTAAATTTTAGTTTCTAACTTTCGGAAGCCAATTGTGAGGCCACAAGAAAAGATTTATCATTAGAGAATTTGGACAGTGAGTTAATAAGTGATGTGGGACAGATTTGGGAATCTTAAAAAAAAACATAATAGGTTATTAACTGATAGACAGACACGTTTCTAGTAGGAGAAAAAGGATAACCGAACTGGTTTACTAGAGGAATAAAAGAGAAAACAAGAGACAAATGCCATAAGTTTAAATTTAATTTGTTAAAAAAAGAAATTAGGAAGTCAAAAGGGCTTATGTGAAACAGCTGGCTGATAATGTTGAAACCAGCAACAAGAATTTGTTTACATATTTTAAAAGTAAGCAAAATATTAGACCAGCAAAGTTATTTTTGAAGACTATAAGATGACTGAGCTTGCAAATGTTCTTTTCTGTTTTTAAAAGAGAAGACAGTTGTTAGCACTATTGCTGTCTCTGAACATTGTAATAAAAACACTGGAACTGACTTGAATCATATATACATTACACATATAAGCACAAGATTGAGCAAAATGTTCATTTGGGACATTATGGGAAACTGTAAGACGCACTCTTGTAGTTCATGCATCCTTTTAGGGTTAGTAATCATTAAACAAGTCAACTTCACGGACTGGAGAATAAGGGGTCATAAAACATTTCTCAGTTCTTCAATCGCTTTCCATAGGCTTGTGTCTTCCCCTTCAATCTCTTCGTGGTACGTATAAAAATTAAGAGAGATTGAAGTACATAAAGCACAACATCCAAACAAGATTTTTTCCTCTGGGTTTTGATTTAGGTCAAAGATCAGATATGTCAGATTTTCTCTTATATTTGGCAGGTCAACAGAGAGTGGGAAGATGCCCGAGGACTGGAAAGTCACTTATGTGATACTCAATTTTTTTTAAAGAGAGACAAAAGTTGCTCTGGAATTTGGCAAAAATAGTTTTACAAAGTCGACATGGATTCGTCAAAGGAAAATCTTGGCTTGCTAATCTGTTATCTTCGTTTTGAAGATGTATGACAGAAAGGGTGTAGACTCGATATTACTTACATTTTCAAAAGATTTTGATAAGGTAACACGTAAAACAAAAGAAAATCACATCGGTAGGGGTTGAGTAACAACTAATTAATTGGATTGTATGGTAGTTTAATGGGAGAAAGCAAAACGTTGTTATTAATGAAGACCACCTTTTGTCCGTTGGTTAGGTATGAAAGGAAAAATGCATATAGCAAAACATATGAAATTAATGGTCACTTAAAAAATATATTTTAATCTGTAAATGCATTAATAAATACACCATTTTGTAATTTTTAATGCAAATCTAACAGATATAAAAGTATTTTAACTACAGTTTATCTCCTTACCAAAGATGAACAATTCACTTGGTTTCAATTGTAATGAAAACCTAGGTAATTATTTTAAAGTTAAAACTTGGAAACAATCATGGTGAAAAAAAACATTAGTTTAAACACTAAAGGTTACTTATACTTCTCTTGAGATTCACCATAAATCAGGAAAATTTAATAAAACCTTAAACAAACAATAATTAATCAAATATATCATGAATAAAATATAATAATCAAAAACAACTTGTACATTTACCGAATGTTAATGACTATTAAAACTGATAGGATATCATGCAGTTGGGCTATAACTTAATAAGCTGAACAAGTCTAACTTACAAAATACGTCTATCGTAAATGTCTGAACATATGATGTTCTCAATACACATGTCTTGGTTTTAACTTTTAGTTTCATTTCAGCTTTAAAACTACTTGCATTTTTCCATAATTTGTATCTCTAATAGAAGAAGAAAAAAAAACAACCTTTGTCACTGTGTAGTTTCTATTACAGTTACATATTTTTTTATTAACATTGAAAGATATTTGCAATTTGATTCATTACCTTTTACATATGAGTTTTCGGTACTGGTATAACGAGACTGCGGATTTCTATCCTGTTGCTCCCTGGCTAGAACAGCACTCAAAGCCGGCTCTGTTTGTAGCAGAAGGCGGCAAGTTAAGAATACCATCAGTACAGATAATCGACACTGTATTCTACTTCTAGATAACACCATCGCGCCCTTTGAATTTTCTCAAGAGAAAACCAAACCGCCCTTGGTCATAACTTTTATAGTTTAATAATTTATTTCCATCATGAAACCTATAACACCACATTTCTTTTAAGTTTATACAACTTAAGTTACAACCTCAGCAAAGGTTCCCCCATCACCACCACAACCTACAAAACCCCCAAAACGAACTAGCCTAACCTCCACATCGATAGTGACACTACACTTCCAATACTACTAGAGACATCTGGTAGCTACTATTTTGACTATTTCACTGGAACAAAACATGCTATTTTCTCATTTATTAACAGCTTTCAGGAGATCTTGTTCGTAACAAAGATGGCAGCTTCCACTAGTAGTAGGTCTGGTGTGTTTTAAATTTTAAGCCACCTATTTAAGTTTTAATTACATTTAAAATTCTTTGCATGCTACGTTTTCATGGCACACTTTTAAATTTTCAGAACATCTTTTTTTTTCTTCTAGTACTAATATGTTAACAGCCTGACTATTTTTATTTCCTACTACTGGTGACATCTAGTAGCTATTAGTCTGACTATTTCAGAGGCGCAAACATATTATTTTCTCATTTGTTGGCAGCATTCAAGTTCACTTTATCGTGGCAAAGATGGCAGCGTTCAGTAGCACAAGTACTACTACTACTAGTAGTAGTAGGTCTGGTAAGTTATAAATTTAAAGCCACTGATTTAAGGTTTAATTTTATTGAAAATGCTTTACATTCTAATTTCGCATGTTGTACTTGTAAATTTTCGGAATATCTTTTTTCTTTTACCAGAACTAATATTCTAACGGTCAGACTATCCACTGAAGGAGTCATTGAAATTTAAAAATTGAATGCATATATAATTATAGTGATGATATAGAGCAGGTACGTATAACTACCACTAGATTGGAAAAGGCCTGTTATTGCGGCCAGTACGCATTATGGTCCCAGCTCCTTTTTAATGCCATGACATAGGATGTTACTTTTGTTGGCACAAACCAATATTCCTAACCACCTACAGCAGAAAAAAGTCTGGGTGTTGAATGTGTGAAACAAATGGCTAGTTGTAAGACTATTAGTTCAAAGACCTGTGGAACACATGCTTGGTTTTAACTACCCTGTGAACCTATTGTGTGGTTAATTTTATTTTGATGAAGCTTTTGACCGTCTGTGCAGGCCTGGTAGTTAGGTTAAAAACACCATCTTTTTTTACACTTTTTTTTTGGTACACACCTCAAATATATACATTTAGTAATTCTAGTGAATGCCCTTGGAGTTTAATCTAATATATGGACAACAAAGGACCATTTAGTCCATTCAAGGCTGTTTTTGCACATCCACCCTTAGAGGTAGTAAAAATTTAAACCCACTCTTTATTTTTCAGGAAGTCATTAATTCCCTCTTAACTACTTTAAAGTGTTGTACTCCACTTCTCCTTATTGAAGCTCAGGGATGGTGGTAAGGGGGATATAGTTAGGGCTGAAACTACCCCAAAATGTAACTTATCCTCCTATGTATCCCCTCACCCAGTGAACAATACTTACTGTTAAAGGTGGTCCACTTTCTAAATACTAGAGTATGTGCCCATAAGATGTAGAGTTTAGCCCCCTTAGCATTTTGTTTAGTTCAACTTGGTCCCCTCACCAGAAAGAGGTTAATGCTGCTCTTGCTGCAACTCATCCCATGAGTCAGTCATAGTGTTTAAAAAAATAAAACTGTATTAACTATAGCTAAGCTTGTCTTTTCCAAATTTTAAACTTGTGTCTTTTCATTCCAATATCTTCAGAATATAGCACAAAGAAATAAGTAGCTTTTATCAAGAGAAAATTAGTTAAGACATCTTAATCTATCTCCTTGAGATAGCCCTTTAATCTCTGGAGTTGACCCATTAACTTTTCTCAGAACCCTTTCCAATTAGTCAAGATACTGTTTTAAATAAGAAAACAAAAACTGTACATAATATTAAGAGGAGGCCTAAGTAGTGATTTGTATAGAGATAAATACATGTTACGACTATAAATACACCCTAAAGTTATATTACTTTTACCATTACAAACAGAAACTTCTTTGATATCCTAAATGATTATCCATTCATATTCAAAGACCCTTTTCTTTAGTCTCACTATTGTGTGAACTCCCATCTGTATTAAACATGATAAAAGTCATGATACTTTGCACTTACAATAATTAAAAGCTATTTGCCAAATATTTGTCCCATTAACCAATTGATTGTAGTCATTCTGTAATACCTCAACATCCACAGTACAGCTTGAAATACCAAAAAATTTAATATTGTCAACCAACTATATTAATTTACTAATTATGACCCCATTGATAATATTAGTGTAAATAAACAACTACCCAACACTGATTCCCGAGGCTTTCACTATTAACAAGGGCTCAGTTTGACTGGACCCCATTAATAAGAATATTTTGCTTTCTCGTATTCATTCACCCTACAATCCAATTAACTGTTCTTTCTTCGAGTTCTTCTGGTTGGATAATCATAGCTCATCTTTTGTGTGGTCACTTATCAAAAGCTTTTGAAAACCAAAGTACAGTAAAAGCTTTGTTATCTGGAAAGCTCTTCTAACAAGAAAGTTCAGTATCTTGAAATACAAATGCTCAATGTAGCTTAGTGGCTTTAAGTTCTTTCCTGCTGGCAAGCTTCAGTTGTTAGCCATCTCTAGAGTGATTTACATTTAAAATACTGTACTTATAAATTGTTTCTAAAACAGTACTTAAGGTTCTTTTACAGCATTTATTATTGTTTAAAACTTATTGTTAATTATGATGTAGACATACGGTACTTTTAGAACATCAACAAGATGTGAAAAATTTTTCTGTAAAATATCATAAGGAAAACGCTTTAATAACTGGAAGTTTCACCTATCTGGCACTGCCAAGGCTCAGCAGCTGTCAGATAATAAAACGTTTATGGTATATCAGGTGCATATACTTTCTATCATCCAAGTAACAAGTAGCAGCCTTGAAAAAAAGATGACTGACTAGTAAGACAAAATTCCCCTATTGAAAAAACAAATATATATATATATATATATATATATTTCAGAGCTATGCCCATTTTTAAAGTTATGAATCTAGGATCGTAATACAACTCAATTTTATTTAACATATTTTAATTATATTTCACAACTGTAATAACGATTAAGTAAAATGTAAAGTTAAAACGAATATACCACACACTTTAGAAAAGCAACAACATACCTACACATTCAAAAAAATAAAAATAAAATCCAATTAAGACAGCTTTATTTTTCGAAAGGATGACTGGCTTCTAGGATGAGTTTCCATAGTCAGTAGTGGAAGCAGATACTTTACAAGTGAAAAGTAACTGATAGTTTTAAACTTTTACTTTTCTCAAAGATGGTTGTGCAAGGACATACTTGAAGGACCAAATGATCCCTTGTTGTCCATAGATTATGTTATTGAAAAGATACAATTGAAAATATTCATAAAGGCTTGAGTCGTATAGTTATGTGTTGTTCTGTGATGAATAAAGCAGAATTGTGGTATCCGTTTAGCGAAATTTTTAATTCAAACACGAAAAAAAAAGGGTTTTGATTTGTATAATACTGGTGATGTTTAATTTATAAAACTGGAGTTTTGCCTCTCTTAATCAGAGAGCCCACTTGGCTTTACAAAGGTATCCTGCTTACTAATATATTTTTTTGGGGGGGTGGTATTACTTTTTATCTGGATGAAAGTAAAGGAATGTATATGGTTGGATTGTGGGTATTCCAAAAGCCTTTGATAAGGTATTGCATAAAGGAGTGGTGAAAAAACTGCACAGTTGGAGTAGGGAATTCTTGGTACAAGACATTTAAGATTTTAAGAAGTGCTTAGAGTTTCCTGATTACATTGTCTATAGTATATTTAAATTGGAGAGATTAAGTTGTTCAAAATTTTTAGGAGGTTGTACGATGTTATTGTTGTCTCTTTGAATAGTGGGATGAAAAGGTAAGAAATACAAACTAGAATACTAGTGGTAACAGGTTTAAGCTTTGGAAATGTAAATTATTTAGAATTGTTATTTGACAAATAATTGTTTTGTTGGTGCTAATTTGTGAAAGGGTTTGCTTGATGATGTTGTCTGTGCTGTTAGTTTGAATTATTTTAAAATTTTATTGGGTAGGTATGTGGACATGAAGGGCTATTTTAAAAGTTTATTTTAATGAATTAAATTGCAGAAGAAAATTTTCAATATTAGTGGCTTATTATTTTGTGTGTATGTTTTGGACAAGAGACTATCTTGATCAACCTTTTGTTACTTTGCCTTTTCTTATATTTCTGTATTGGATATTTATGTATGTATGTTCTGATAATAGGTTTATTTTCAGGAAACCAAGACCGTGCTTGGAATGATCCACCTGTATGTGATTTTAATGAAACTGGACAGACCATACCACCCAAAAGAACTCCACTTAACAAGCGTATATCATATCCTCAGGATGTAAAAACTGTACCAACTACTAGCTTAAATCATAATCCCATGAGTTTAGGTTGGTTTCTCTTTTTTTTTTTTTTCTTCTTTTGAAAAATGAATGATTTTGCTATGTAAATTTTAGAGTACCTTCTCCCGGTTATCAAAACACATTAACATCGTTGGAATTTATAACATTACTTGTGTGACTTACAAAGTCATCTCAGTTTAAATTCTTAAGTTTTGTATTATTTCTCCGAGTTCTTCTAAGTGATAATTTGGGAATATCAGAAACTTCCATAGCCTTATTTCTGCATACGACATTACAGGAAGGGTTTGTATGGTATATGGAAAACATTAAAATGGAATTTTACGGTCTTTTGTCATCCCCTGACTTAAAGAACCATGGAATGTTTTTTTTTTAAAAATCGTGGAGAATTTTTTAATTGTACCTATTAACCAAGTAAGTAAAGGAGCTAAGATATTGATTGTCTACTTCTTCCTGTTAATTCAAAACATTTGTTCTAAAGTCAATGTTGCTTCTTGGTTACGTTCCAGTACTTGCAATACTAATATATATATATAGTGTGATTGGTATATCTGGTGTACCTAAGTTTTAAAAAATAAGTGTACATTTCTTTAATAACTAATGTATTAGCATTAGTTTTTGATCTAAAAAGCTAAATTTTAATGTTAAAAAATGGTTTTTCTATCTACATTTTTACACAATAAAAAGTTTACCACATCTAGAGGTCCCCCTGGTGGGATAGTGGTAAGCTTATGAACTTAACAGTGCTAAAATCTGGGGTTCAGTTCCCTGCAGTGGACATAGGAAATAGCCCAATGTGTCTTTGATCAAAAATAGAAACAAACATCCAGAGGTATATACGGCTAGTTTTAGACCAAACATAAAACTGTTTCTCCTCTCTTTTGAGAGAGAAAAAAAAGTTCTATGCTTTGGCTTCCCGACAGGAGTATGAATCTTGACTTGGTTAATATCTCAGTTACAAGTTTTATTTATAATATATTAATAATTTTCATGAAAATAACTAAAATTTTGAATTATTTTATTTATTTAATATGGTATTACCTGTGTAAAAGATAAAGAATATAGTATTCAATATCAGAAATTTAAATTTAATTTTCATTAGTTTTTCTATATGCTTGTAGTTGCTCCAAAACATACACTATTTAAAATGAACATACGTGCAGATAAATGTCAGTTGTTTTTGTTTTTAATTTTTGAAGCTTTTATAATTATAATATTGTTACGCCTCCGGTCGTTAGTTTGTTAATTTTCCTTAAAAATTCTTTCCAAAGAAACTTTAGCGATACAAGTCCTTTCTCAAATAAAACTAGTTTATTCTTTCTCAATACAACTTTGCAATACACTTAATTTCCACAGTCACGCTATGACTTAAACAAACGCTATAATTCACAACGAAGGATTCATGCACTTGACTCAATTGTCCGTCTCTATCTTTGTCTGCAATTCAATTCCGATTGATTAGTCTCACGTTAACCGGCGCACTTATATACAGGAATAGAGAGTGCCTAGCACATACTGGATTATTCGTGATGTTCCCCAATCCTTCAAGAATATCATGACGTGTTACCAGAGTCACGTGACTATCGCTGTCGTAACACTATGTAAAAATCCTGGTCTTAACTACCTCTGAAGTCCCTCTGGAGAATTCAGGTTATGTTTTCTCATATATAAAAGTCATTATTATAGAATGTTCACTCAGTGATGATTACAATTCAGGCTTCTGTGTTTTGATTTTCATGATAATGCAGTTATGATTATCCCACTGTATTAATAAAACCAGAGTATTTTGAAATAAAATATCTTAGCTATTCATAATTAAAATCATCCTAGTTCAAATAAATAAGTAAAAGTAAGCAACATAACAATAAAGAAAATCTGATAATAATAATTTTTATTTACCTATTTTACTTATAGAATTATTAGTTATTTTAAACAAAAGCATTGTTTCAGTATTGTTTCAATAATATTTTTAGTCATTGTTCCTAAAGGTGAATCAACTAACACTGTAGTGCTACTTCCTCCGTCATCTGACACAGCAGTGCCACATACGTGCCCTACTGTACCTGTACCACTCGTAGATGCTGTTATGTCCATCAAACCATCCTTAACGTCTGTGGAATCTTCTAACCCTAACCCAGAAACTTGCGATACCAAGGAAGAATGTACCGGTGAAGAAATGTTGTCTTTGTCGATGAATTTTCTGGAAGAGATATTTCAGAAATGCACAGTAGTGATGAAAGTAAGAGTAAATTAAAAAATGTTAACTTTGTTTGAAATGTGTTCAAAAGCATTAAGATAAACTGAAAATCCAATAATTAATAAGCAATTGTCTAAATGTGGTATTACAGCTTCTCCTTCAGTTATCTTATACCAAGTTAATTTACAATTCATAATTTTATAATCCGAATTTTTATATCCTCTTAAGTTTTAATTTCTGAGTTTCAAAATGAAATATCTTAATCTTCACTTCTCTGTATCTTGTGGCAACTCTGCACTCTGTTACCATGATTATTAGGTCCACAGTGGCTCATTGGTAAGTCTGAAGACTTCTAATGCTAAAAACTGAGTTCCAATACCCATGGTGGGCGCAGCACAGATAGACCATTATGTAGTTTTGCTCTTAACAACAAACAACACCTGAATTCCTTTACAACACCACACAGTTTTATATTAATCTCTTTAGCCTGTATAGAACTAAACACTGGAAGTTATACGTCTTTGTTGATTAACTTACGAAACTGCTTTTCTACCAGGATAAGTTCACAACAGCATTTCAACTGCACTTTATTGTTGCAATACTTATTTGTGGACAAATAACTGATGGGGATAGCATTTTAAAAGGCCGGGCTAACTTACATCTAGAACATTAAAAGTATTGCAAGTTTAATCTTGATATCTTTTATCAAACTTATTGCATTAAAAGTTACTGTTCTTTGCCGACTTTAACAACGTACGTCATACAACCCGTATGTACTTATTTTATTACTATTCTCTATTATCAGTGCCCCTAGTGTTTAAATTCACTTTTTATCTGAGAATGAATATTAGTTTGACAAAATTGAGAGTGTTTGTTTTTACTTGAAAAAAAAATTAATGCTCAATTGTCTTTTGTTACACACACAAAAAATATATTTAAGCATAATTTATCTATTCTTTCTGTATAGAAACGGACGGCAGATGACGTGAAACGTAGACTTGCTCTTCTTTGGTCTCAGTGGAAAGAGAACAAACTAACTGATGAGGTTAAGAGGAAAATGTATCTTTTAGCAAAAGGTTGGTGAATAGGGTTTCTGATCTTTTCCAGAGCCTTTCTTTTTTCTTTGGTTATTTTTTTGTGCAAAGTATGTCTGTACTTAATGCTCCTAAGTTGGTGCTAATAGAAATTCCATCACAGTGAGTGAGAGTGGGTATTTAATTCAAGCTGTTGACACGTGATAACTGAGTAAAAAAAATATATTTTAAGTACATATGATGTTCAACACTAGAAAGTATATATAGTACTATCACTTAGTTACATTTTCACTGATTGTCTGCATGTCTCTTGTCCTTTCTCATTAACACTGTGTGCACAGGCGGGGTCAAAGTGCACATACCATAACCTTTTATATAGTGCCATTCAACATGGTATTATGTATTTGGTTTCAGAGTTATCAACTTTTCATTTTACCTCACATTACTGATTTAGCAACAGTTCATGTTAGAGGAGAAGAAATATCATATACAGTGTACAGGGTTATTGAAAAAGCTCTAGGTATACATTTCAATCTGCAAACTGTATTATGGACAAAAGAATTTGCATTCCAACTTGTCAAACTGGTGTAGTCAATTCAAAGATGTATCTTAAGTAAAAATAGGGGAGACCGGGGCTAGTTGTTACAATTTTTAGAAAAAGTCCAATATCTAGCGAAATAACCCGAATCATACATTGAAACTGAATGAAAGTGAAAGATAAATAA